GGGGGACCCACAGGTTTCCCCAGAACACAGATTGAGAAGAAGAGTAGTCTGCTCTACAAAATAACTGACATAAACGTTTACCAGAAACATTCAGTTTGGTGATTTATTTTTCCATCCCAGAGATAATCTTCATAATAAATAAGATTACCACCAACAACATTCTATTTAAATTCTTGAATAATATGGACCAAATATTAACTTCTTCTAATATATGTAGTCATTCTTATGAAGACATTTAACATTAAATTCTTATTTTCAGTGTCAGTAAGACATGAATAAGACATGAGTTATTAAGAGCTACAGAATCTGTCATAATCAAATATAAGAAGAACTCTCTCCTTTCACCCACTCCCTAAAACAGTGGAGAACTTCATTAATTCAGAGTAGGACAGCTAATTTTTAAATATATTTCGTACTTTTGAATACATAAACACGCTTCACAATTCTGAAAAAAAAAGTACACCTGCTACCTATGCAGTAGTAGAGTTCATTTAATTGATCCACATAGACACTCAGACCAGGGTAATAGCATTAAATGGTTGGGAGAAATATACACATCTTAGGACTTATAATTGATATCAAGAGACATACTTACCTATTTTTCTCAAACTGATGAATAAACAACAATATCAAAGTCACAATCAGGGAAAAATCTGGATTTGTCTCCCCACTGATGAACAACTCTCTAACAACACATATGCACACACACAGACAACAAAGGGGAAATAAATGTCAGAAGGACCTTACTCAAATTTGAATGTTTTACATTTTATTATAAAATTTAATATTCTATAAAGAAATGCATTTGCATAAAAGAAAAAGAAAAAGATGCAATAGTAATCTAAGCATAAATATGTCCTTGAAGGCAAACAAATGCTAAATTACAATACAGCTTCTGTCAATGTGAGCAAATGCATATTTTGAATGTAATGCAAATCTAAGGAATCAAAGGGAAAATAGCCATTTGCAAAATTGGAGGAAAGAGCATCCTCCTTTAAGTCTAACTGCTCTAGCCATTCATCCCATGCTAAATTAAGGCTGAATAGCATTTCTCAAATCACTCTTTGTTCTTAAATACAAAAATCACAAGCAGTTTTCCTGAATTCTAGGCAAAAATGCCCCCACTTCTAATAGTAACTGTCACTCCTACTTGACAGTCCTTTTCAAAAACAGTTTAAAAAGTGGTTAAAGTGGTCCAAATGAAATCTGAAAGCCAATTCAGTTTAGCATTTTGTATATTATTTGACTAACTTCAGTCCTTTTGACCTTATAAGCTTTTTATTTTCTAGTTAGATTTCCTTTGCTATAGTTAACCAAAGAATCAAAGGCAAATCAAATTCATCCAAATTTTGCCTAATTACCAGAAACAATGCCAGGCACAGTAGCTGGAGCCAGTGAATCTCATACTATTATTCCGAGTGAAAAGGAATATTTAAATCTCCAAAATGTAAGAAGATCATTATAAAGACAACCATTTCTAAAATATCCTCCATTCATATTTTGAGGAGAGCTCTCAACCTGAAGGATAATCAGATCAAGCAACTTAAAATGAGACATCAAAAAGCATTTACCCATCATACAAATCCCATGTTGGCTTATTGCTCTTCAGGCCAGGGATGCCTGATGCAACCTAACATGTCTATCAAAAGGATTTAAAGAGTTCACATAAACCTTTATACTAATCATTCCTTGTACCCCGAGTTCATAGAAATAGTCCAGTTACCCATGTACGCCAATAGAGCAGGCTATTGGATATTTAGTGATAAAGAAGTGCTATGGAATGGCATCCAAGCACTCTGGCATGTTCACCTTCAGCTAAAGACAGCACAATACACTGACAAACACAGTCCTAATGACATCAGGACCTGTGGAATGTATGACTGCTAGGAAACAAAGAACAGATCTGACCAAATCTTCTAATATATGGACTTGGAATCATGGCAATTAGATCTTCTAAAAGGAGAGGACAAGTATCCTTTCATCTTCAGAAATGATTGCAAGTTTAAAGACTTTAACATAAACCCTCCAGAAGTGAAGCAAATATAGGATGCTAGATGCTCATGAATTAAATCACAATTCTCTAAGTTTTCTTTTAAGGCGACCACCACTAGCAATAACTCATAAAAATATAACAATCAAAATCGGGGATCAGGGATTCTGTATTCCTTTTTGTTTGTGTTTTATTTTTTGCAACCTAAGCTTTTCAAGAAGATCTTAAAAAGAAAGAAATGTAGACATTATAGTACCTAGAAACAAAGTATCCTTTTACATTCGCAGTGCTACATTTTTAGAACAAAATAGAACATAGCCATTTGCAACAAACACCCAAGCAGTCAGAGCTCATCTACAACTAAGGCATTTAATCTTTTAATTATTGAAACTAAAAAAGCAGTTTCAAGTTTTTTTAAAAAAAAACTGATTATCTTTGTATATTGTTAACCCTTGCTTTGGTTACAAAAAAAAAAGATAGTGTGAAACAAAGCTGAGAGATATTTCAATGAAAATATCTTTTTAACTTCCACACAAATTATCTGAAAACCTCTTCGGGTTACACTATAAAAGAACTGACAGGTCTATCTGTAATCCGCGTACAGACAAACTGGGCGCTAGGAACTCCTGGTAATTTAGTATCATCCCCGCTTGAAAAATGTACCAGGGAAAACTGGCTCCATTCTGTTTAACCTCTTAGGGAAATAAAAACATTCTCCAAATGAAAAATTACTAAAGAAGCGTGTCTCTGTAGATTCTAAAATGGCATTCCTTAACTAGTTTTGCTAGCCCAATATGACACTAAATTAGCAGACCGCCTAGTTACTCCACAGCACAACACAGGAGGCAGTTTTTCCTTCCAGCCAGAGTCTATGGGTCTCCTCATTTCCCCAGCAGCTGGCTGGAAGGATGTAAAATCAGGGGTGCAAGAAGACTTAGACTTCCTAATGAGTAATCCACCCAGGAAAGTAAACACAACTCACACCGCTAGGTTCGGCGGAAAGGAGGCTGTGGCGGGGCTGCTGACACCCTTGTTTACAATGTGCTCCAACTGCTGCAGGCAGGATCACACACGGGCACTGGCAGGAGACACCGGGGGTGGCTCGCCCGCGGGAGTTCGCCCAATGGCTAGGCTATCTCTGGCCATAAATACAGCAGCACATGTTTCCATCTGAGCGAGGAAAGTGGCCAGAACATTCCAGGGACCAGGGCTTGTGCCGGCTTCGCTCGGTTACTTCAATCTGCCAGCGAGATGACTACACTCTCCCCTGGTCCTCATCGGGGCCGATCTGGGGCGCGATGAGCGCTGCACCAGAGACTCTCACGCGCCGCACGCATCCCGCGGAGGTGCTCCTCGCCGGCGGAAAAGGGACCAGGGGACACCGAGAGGCTTCCCCGCAAACCCTACGGGCCCCCGCGGCCTCCTCAAACCAGATTTTCCAGTTCAGCGGATCCCAGGAGATTTCGATAAGCAAGCTCAAGTAGCATCAGCTCTGCCATCCCCGCAAATACCTCCGGGCCATCCCCTGAGCGCACGAAAACGCACACACACGCACGCACACGCCGCCCCGCCGCCAACTAACCCTTTTGCAGGGAGGTCGCCCCCAGAAACACACATACACGACCACCCACCAATACTGCTGGGGGAGGGGGGGTAGCACGCTTAGCTCCAGACTCCAGCGGCGGGGGCGCAGCGGCACCCTCGCTGCGAGGCAGCCTGGAGCCTCCCCTCCTCCCGAGAGAAGCTCCCTGGCGCCTACCCTCCTACCTGTAACCCAGCCGACCGCGGCCACCAATACCCTCCCCATCCCGCCCCGGTGCCCCCGCCACCCGGATTCTTTCAACAGCCAAACCGTGCCCACTCCCAGCACCGCGCCGCCGCGGGCCACCCAAGAAAGTGGCACCTTTCTCCAACCAAACCGCCTAACAAAGCCTGGACAGGCATGTCTAAACCCAACTGCCGTGAAGGGGACCCAACGGGCGGGGTGCGGGGAGCCAGCTCGGCTCCACGGCTCAGGGGCGCGACCTGGGCACCCGCGGCCGAGGATGCTCCGAGGCAGGTGTCTAGGGAGGGGGGCGGCAGGCGGGCCACCCCGTGGTCCCCACCACCCCAGAGCCCCGCTCCTC